GCTGGATTCCAGCACGGCCATCACCAAAGTAGAGTCCTATGCCATGAGGCAGCTTATCGGGATGAAACTTTCCTGGAGAAACAGATTCAGAAATCATTGTGGTTATTGCTGAAAAATTATTTTCAACTAGGAGGCAATAAGGCAAACAGAGTGAACTGGAAAAAAAGAACAGATTTGAAAAAAAAAGTGTAAATTTGAGGGGGGAGAAAACATGGATAGGAAGAGTAAACACTCATTTCCTTATTAATAAGAATTTTGAAAACGTAACACAGACAGAACACAGACAGCAGTAAAAAGGGCCTGGAAGGCCAGATTTCATTAACTTAATCTATCAAATAAATTTGCTTTATCCAAAAGAAATTCCATAATGTGACTAAAATCCAAGTCATACCTATCCCTCTTGGGGAGAAAAGAAACAGGGTTAGTTTGCAAGACTCACTAAGTGGCCACACGATCACCTGGAACATAGGTCAAGTCCACCCCAAGCCATTGTGAAACAACTCTTCTAATTTCTTGGTTTTTTAAATGCTACAGTAAAGACTTTCAAATGGGCAGCTAGAAAACATCATCACAAGGATTCTCTACAATATTAAGATCGCTACTTTCTGCTCCATGGAATGATGTATCAGAAGTATATCCAGCGTACTTTTTAAAGAGTATTCATGTAATCACTAAAATGCCTTCATTTAAACAGAGGCCCCTTCTTTTGACCACAGAGCTTAGTAATAATCCTTTAGGATCTTGGTGAATTCATCAGCACAAGAAACCAGCAGTCACCGTGCTTGCTCCAACTGGGCAGAAGATTCAATGACACACTTGAAACTACCTTGAATGAAAAGAACATGCACTATGTCTTTGTTTCTTATTATGATCAAGAAAAAATAGGAAATTATTTCTCAAAGTACAGCCAAAAAATCTGAGTATTGTTTCTCCTGTGGTTGGGTTTTGTTCAAATATTCTCTAGCCAAACAATACCCATCTTCCTGTGTTTACATTCACACTCCGACAGAAATGATTTACTAAAACATTCTAATTGGGCTTGTGTGAGGTCTTTTTTTTTTTTTTTGGTCTCCCCTGGTTAGGAGGATGAGGAAGGAGGCATGACTGTTTTTGTGTGCACGTGTACATATGTGCTTGGATGTGCATATGTATTTAACAACAAAAGTTTTGATTTCTACTGTTTTGATCCAAAAACACACCAAGCTGTTACTTATATTTAGTGCCAATTAAAGATCACAAGCAGTGCCATCGCATTGAGTGAAAGCTAACAAGCTTCACTCAATCTATCTCCACCATCACTCTTGCATGCTGTGGTTCTTGCATTATGTTATTAAACGTCACAGTTAAGGTTTTATGACCTCTCTGAAACACCTGTACACCAGCACAGGGAATAAAGAGGAATAAATGTCTGCAGTGACCACGTGCAGGTGCCCAGGGGGTGACAGAGCCCTGCAACAGGTTGCTCGGAAAGGTTGTGGCGTCTCCTTCTTTGGATATATTCAAAATCCACATGGATGTGGTTGTGATCCTGTGTGATATGCTTTAGGTGACCCTGTCTGAGCAGAGGATTTGGGCTAGACCTCCAGCGGCCCCTTCCAACCTCAACCATTCTGTCATTTATATAGTATATGCAAGTATGTTTTTTAATACAAAAAACAAAAGAAAAAGAAAATGTTTTGTACAATCCATGCTTATGTTGACAAATAAATAAAAACGAGGCCAGGACTAGATGTAGGGAACAGAATGGATGAAGCAGGTTTATGTGCAGTTTATCTGTGGCAAGGGCACGACTTGGCATGTCACCAGAGCCCTGCTAAGAACATCATTTCTTGAGGAAGAAGTTTAGCAGGAGTCATCTAAGCTGCTTCAGGGCTGATCCAGGAAACATCTTCTCTCATACCCCTTTGGACACCCCACTGACCTAGCTGTGGTTCAACAGCCACATTCAAGTGCTCTCTCAAAAATAGAAAATGACATACCACCACATTTTTTATGATACCACATAAAAATAAATAAATAAAAATAAAACCCACCACACTATTCAGCCTAATAGCACAGTAAGAAATGTACAATAGCTTCACTTCAGATGCTCCAAGCTAGAGCTGACACACAGAAACAAGTCAGCTGTCAGAGCTGGTAGGTTTGTTTCCTAAATAACAAAACATCATGGGAATGAGAACCAATTATAAAGCTTTCTTCTCTAGGTCAGGCATCTGAGTCCAATTTAAGTCCAACAAAAATAAATCAATAAGATGTTTCCAGAATGATTGTTCAGTGAATGAAGGACAGCTATTCAGTCTCAAAGCGAAAAATCTTTTTCCTTGTAATCATGTATTTGTCAGTTCACAACTTAGATGAAGGTCCTCTGGTTTGACCCATAGAATGGGAAAAGATCACAGGTACGAATTTCTCCGCTTCTGATCTGACAGAAAGGTGTATGGCAGAACATATTCTCCATAAACTCAGTTTTTAGCCAGCTTTGATTTATCTATTCTCCTCTTTAGTACCCAACAACCCATTGTGTTCTTCTCTTCCTTCTTCCTCTCTCCCCCCATGCTCCTCAAAACAAAATGATCTTCTTGTATAACCATGTTTTGCTCTGACATAAAATGTAAACTTGATGAAGAAATACTCTTTCCAAGCAAGATTTTTTTTCATTATTTAACAAAATTATGAATTATGAACAGTGAAAAGATGCATGTTTATGTGATCAAAAAAAACATAAATAACTTAGCAAATGAATGTTCCCCACACAACTTAATACATACAGTCACATGCAGGATGCCAATAGTCTTCCAAAGCCATCAGCACCACAATACAAAGCAAACAATTTGGCTTAACCCATTTGTCGTTAAAAACAATCATTTCTAGTACTGTTTTATACACTATCCAAAACAAGATTTCAAGACTAAGCTGAATGAACTGCTGCTGGGGAGATGGACGTTCCTATCAGTCAGGATCACTCTTACAAGCATAATCTAAAGTACCTCAAATGACAACACATCTTTTAATAAGCAGTGACAACCTTAGAGCTTTCTAGATCTAGGTATCTTATGGAATTTAGGCAGTTTGATCACGTAGCATTTTTAAAAATTTCATCCAATAATGATATATGTTAGCATGTTACTTTCTTCCTTGGCCTTGGCAACTTTACCTTTTGAATATCTGTGCATGCTTATGCCCCCAGTCCCACCTTTTGTTGTGGTCTAGCCAAACTATAAATTTCACAACCTTTCTTACAATTTTTCCATTCTTCTACCCCTTCATTAACAGCATGGTTCACATTGTCAGATACTCATATTTTAAACAAGAGTCAGGCATATTTTAAAATTGCACTAAACATAAATTACATTATAAAATAAAACATTATGAGCTTCTGAAAATGGAAAAAAAAAAGAATGGTATTGATTACAAAAGAGTTCTCACTTCCTGTAAACATTTCTATCTCTATCCCTCCCCCTCACACACACACTTTAAAGGAAAGCCAGAAACAAGAGTTTAATTAAACACTGCTAGTCTGAATTTCAAATAACCAAATAAACAGATGGCCATGCTTCATAGACCGCCAACAGTCTATTTCAATTAACTAGGATTGGTATTAATGTCATGTCATGCAAGCTAAAACATTTGAACCAAAGAAATATAAATATACATATATGATAGTTATAAATAGTATAGCATTAAAGTATTTACCACTATACAAAATTGGTACCAGCAAAAAGAAAGGAAACTTCTATTTGAGGCCATCATTAAACACAGACTTTAAGTGTATCAGGATGCTTGTCTGTGCTTTTACAGGCCTCAAATCCTGCTGACTTTGTAAAGAAGAGTTTGAAAAAAATAAATAAAGGTGTCCTCAATTTTTCATCAGGTAACCTCCAATGTCAGGTTTATGTTTATTAATTATTAGAGTCTCAAAGCTGCAATATTTAAATATAATTGCTTATACAGGTAAGTATTCATGAAACTAAAATCTATGACTTGAAAAGCAGCATAGATTTCTGATGCTCTTCAATCTGTGTCAAGTTTTAGCTGCACACTCTGCTATACAC